GGGGGGGGGGGGGGGGTACCAGCAGCCAAAGGTCTCCCGAGAACTGTAAAAGTCATTGGGAAAGGTGTCTCTTCCGGTTTTTTGTTTTGTTTTTTTGCTTAGAATGCACCGCATCCCCTCTGCTAGAATATAAAGAAAAAAAGGGTTTTTATACAGCAGTACAATGTTGTTGACCCCACCTGGAGTGCTGTGTTTCCAGCTCGAGGGGGGTCCCCAGCATAAGGATGTGGACCTGTTGGGGCAGGTCCAGAGGAGGGCCACCAAGATGCTCAGAGGGCTGGAGCACCTCTCCTGTGAGGACAGGCTGGGAGAGCTGGGGTTGTTCAGCCTGGAGAAGAGGAGGTTCTGGGAGACCTTATAGTAGCCTTCCAGTTCCTGAAGGGGGCTACAGGAGAGATGGGGAGGGACTCTTTATCAGGGAATGTAGCATAAGGGGTAACAGTTTTAAACTGAAAGAGAGGAGACTTAGATATTAAGAAGAAATTCTTCCCTGTGAGGGTGGTGAGGCACTGGAACAGGTTGCCCAGGGAAGCTGGGGCTGCCCCATCCCTGGAGGGCTTCAAGGCCATGTTGGATGGGGCTTGGAGCAACCTGGTCTGGTGGGAGGTGTCCCTGCCCAGGGCAGGGGGTTGGAACTAGATGGTCTTTAAAGTCCCTTCCAACCCAAACTGTTCTATGATTGAGTGTGTTATCTGTAACAGCCTTCCATCGTTTCTGCAGCTGAGCCATTTGTTCCTAGTTTTGTCTTTTCATGTCTCTCTAGCTGATAGATCCTGTCTCAGAACAGGAGTGCCTCTTTTGGCCTGTCTCATTTGCCTCCCCTAATGATGGCCCGTGATAACAGCATCACTTCTGGGTCCCCATCTGCCTTGCACAATAGCATGCCAGTGTGGCATGGTTTTTTTAAAGGCACTTGTCCAAGAGGACATCAAAACATCAACTTGTTTCTAAATGATTCAGGTTGCTTTTTGGATCCTCCTTGGGATGGGGGAAAGGGAAAAATGGAACAACCTGCTCTTGATTTACAGAAAGACACTGATGGGTCATAAGCTGTAGTTTGTGTAGGTCTTGGGAGCAGTGATCCCCCCTTTTTCCTTGGTGGAGGTTAATGATTGGATGTTGCTGTGGAGCTGTCATGTAGGAGTGTGAGCCCTGGTCTTGCTCCACTCTACGAGCAGAACAAAGAGACAGCCCGTGCCCCAAGGTGCTTCCAGCTTAGATCTAGGAAAGAGGCAAGGCATGTGTGTGGCTGCAGGAGTACGGGGGAAGCCAGCCCTGATCAGTAATTACTCTATGGCTTGCTAATTAGCCTAAAGAAAAAACAAACTCTTCTGTTGCTAGGCCTGGTGCCAGAAGAGGGTTAGGGATGGATGCAGAAGATAACTGGAAAGCTACGGACTTTAAGTTTTCACTTAGAATCTGTTTCCTTATCTGTGGCAAGCTCTGGCTGCAATTGAAGCTCTCAAACCTCCTCAAGAAGGTGCTTGGGAAGGCTGTGGGCATTTGGCGTTTCCTTAGGTAACCCACCCACCCAGGGCTCAGCCACCTTCATGGTTAAAAGCGCTTCCTGCAAGTAACCACTGAGAGCTGAACTTCACTGCTGTGAAAAGCCACTTCTGCTTACTGTGAACGAGCAAGAAGGGAATCAATGTTTGCATCTTTTGTTGCATTATTGACTGCTGTTGTCATTTCTTCCTTCCCTCTGTTTTTATCTTTTTTTAAACTTTATTATTTTTCTTTAGGCTTCTGATCATTCTTGCAGCTCTCTTAAAGATAGTCCAGATGTTTTCTTTCCAAGCATGTTCCGAAAAAACAGCCTTTTATCACTACTGCAGCTGAGCCAGTTGTTCCTAGTCTTATATTTTCCTGCAGCTGATGGTTCCTGTTGAGGAACTAGAGTGTGTAACTTCTTGAGGTACACTGTACCTTTTCATATTGCTTCTGAAGACTACTTTAAATTCTAATCCTATCTTTTTGTGCCCTTTGGATAAGGAGGTAACTGCATACAGGTCTATAGGAGCAGTACAGTATGGAGCAGGTGCTTGTCCCTGCATTGAACAAGTAGGTGATGGCATTTGGTGTCCTAGGATAAGGTGATGCAGGAGGCCAAAATGACCTTTTAGTGTGGCCTGAGAGTTACAGGACGAAGCTGTGTATGCTGGTCTTAAATACTATTCTTTATGGATTGTATCTTCTTTTAATGGCTGGGTTTTTCTAGTGTAGTGTGTCTTACTCCCTTTTTCTTTCTGAATGTAGACACTTGTACCCTCTTACAGGCATATCTTCTTCCTTATTTAATTATTAAATGGGTATTTAATCTGTAATAATTCTGACATGCTGCAATAATTCACGTATTACTATGGTGAAATTAACTTACGTGAAAAATACTCACCAATTTAACTGTATAGCCCTATACTTATTCAGCTCCTTTGGTGGCTTCTGCTTGTTGGCTCATATATAAATACTCAAATGCTGTAAGCGTGCTCATCTGAGGTGGTTGAACATTCAGTTTCTTGGTAGTAATGGGGTTTTTTTTATCTTAACTGCAAAATGTAATGTTTAGGCTTATGGTGACCCTTGCAGGGGTCTGGGAGAGGTGTGAGGCTGTGTCAAGAGAGGACATGCCATGTCTGGAGCAAAAAACCTGTGCTTTTCCTTGGCATCTCTCTCTGACCAGGAGAATACAGGCGGGGAGCTTGGAGAGCACCTCGATGAGCGTAGGCACAAGGGTCCAGTTCAAAAGACCTCTCCTCCCCTAGGAGAAGGTGGGGATTGATGTCTGAACAGACCTTTGCACGAGGAGGAGGATCTGGAGGAAGGAGCTCAGCTCGGAGGAGAAACCTATGCTTCTTCTGAGTGTATCTAGCTGGTAGGGAATGGTGAATGCCAGTGAAGCTGCCGCTCCTCTTGGAAATGTTCACTGGTGCCTCAGACTGCACTAAGGGGAGAGTTTTTAGTCTGTTTAGGGTTGTTACCTATTGCTTTGTCATTAAGACCCCTATCATTGTTTTTCTTTTTTTTTTTTTGCAGGTTTCACACAAACTGTTTACCAGTCATGCCTCTGCATGTCCTCCTCTACCTAAGCTGATACAGCATCTATGCACTTTAATCTCCTCTATGCCACTCTACTAGTACAGTGTGAGCTGTGCCTTGAACCTTGGATATAAAGACTTACCAGCCAAAGTCTTGTTCCTGCCTTAGTAATGTTCCAGAGGTTAAATAACATGCTCATGGGAGAGATTAATAGCTTGTCCAGCCAAGAGCCAGAGTTCAGTGAGAAAGAAGATGACGAGTGGATTCTGGTTGACTTTATAGGTAAGATGTCCCTCAAACGTAAGCTCTGCTGAGAAACCAGTAGCTTGGGAGAAACTTGACCGAAGGGAAACCAGTGTGGATTTAGAGCATAGGTGTTTTCCAAACAAATGTACCCAAACATGTTATGTAAACCGATGAGAAAAATGATGTCAGGTTTATAAGTCTGACACAGGCTTCAGCAGAACCACTTGTACAGATGAAATATGTTTGACTTGTTATGCAATTGGATTGCTCTGCTGATAACAGCTGTGTTACGTGTCTACTCTGGCTTGTCAGGGAACTCCCTTTTCCCCTCCCCTTGCTTTAAAAAAAATAAAAACCTAAACAAACAACATGTATACATGCTGATCAGGGGTTTATTCCTGTTTCCTTGTGGTTTTTCTTTTTCATGTCTCGTTTCTGGCTACCTGCAACCTGGTTGTTTTTGAACTTCCTGCAATCACCAACACGTGTGGGTTCCTCTCCACTGACTAATGCCCACGGACAGCAGACACTTGCACTAATTGCTCGGCGGAGGAAGCGGACATGGCTGAGGCATCGGCTGCGGATGGCTCGCCCGTCTTCTCCTGTTTGCCCTCTCCCTTGGAACGCTTGCCGGAGGCCAGCGAGTCGTGCTTCATCCAGTTTGAGTCGTGCCCCATGGAGGAGAGCTGGTTTATCACCCCTCCCCCGTGTTTTACTGCAGGTGGATTAACCACTATCAAAGTGGAAACCAGCCCCATGGAGAACCTCCTCATAGAGCATCCCAGCATGTCTGTCTATGCTGTCCACAACACCTGCCACGGCCTTAACGAGACTGGGTGTGGGGACGAGGAGTTTCACAGCCCAGGTAGTCCCAGGTATGTCTGACTTCTCCTCTCGGGGAGCTCTGTTGCTGAATGAAAATATCTGGTTTCTACTTGAGCAGCTTAGACACTTAATACTGAATTTTCCAGCTTATTTCAGAGCGAGTGAATAAAGCATGAAGGCTAGAGGAGGTGGGAAGGGTGGTCAGGGCTGCTTAGAAAAATGTTACACAAGATGACCGTGTCAGGAAGCAGTTGGGTGTGTTGCTCTGACACTGCAATGAATATTTATGGAGCCTAATTGTTCCCTTGCAGAATATGCTCCAGTTCCTGTTGAAACTGGTGGCAGTTAACGGTATGGTTGATAAGGTAGATCTGAAAGCACTTTGCCCCCTCCATAGCTATATGTATTTTTTCATAACAGTCAGTTACCCTTTCAGTCACCTTGGGAGGTGAAACATACTACATTAACTGTCCTGACAGCACACTCTGTTCTGGCATTTCCTTGTTCCTCGCACCTAGAAATCAGATCAGGATTATAGATAGGACAGGATTAAATTTTTCCACAGGTGGCTTGTGGAACAAAAGCAAACTGAAATATTCCCCAAAACATATTCCCTCAAGGTAAAAAAAAAAAGGCACTGCTAACTTCTACTTTTAGCAAGGTGAGAAGTGGTGCTGTTTGGCACTTGTTTTTTTTGTATGTGTACTAAAGATCTGGCCATGTGGAATTATTGCAGATGCATGTTTGCTGTGCACTGCTGCTTTGGTGGTACCTATCCAGTGTATACAGCTGTATAGGATACAGAGAGGTGTATTTTTTGACATCATGACTCCACATTTGCCCACGTGTTCATTGATTTGGAAATAATTGGGTGTTTTTTGAGTCCTGTGAAAGGACAAAGACTGAGTTTTCCTTCCACCTGCTGCCTAATGTTAGAAACAATGGGGAGGGAGGAAACCATAGTATAGTAAGCTTTGTTACATAGGGGGGAAAATGAGTGTAGTGGTAGAGTTGCTGTAGGTAGATGCCCATTGACTTTCCTCATCACCTCCTCGCTGTATTCAAAGTTCTTAGTTCAAAGAAATGGGTGACTTGGAGGTGAGAGGCTACTGGATAATATCAATGTATAGGGCTGATACAACTTAATCTTGGGGAGCAGGAGGGACTTGTATAAATAATTGGGGAGGGCAGTTTTTGATGTTAAGCATCAAGTGTCTCACTTAATTTGAACTGGGGGGGAAAGCTGTGAGCACACAGTGCCTTTTAAAATGAGGGTTTGAAGGAGTCTGCAAGGGAACAGTAGACCATGAGGTGTTCTCTAGGGAGAAGCAGTAGATACATTTGTCTAAAATATCTATTATGTTTTATAGTAACATACAAAGTAAGGTTCTGACATTTCTCAGCAACTCATAAACTAGGGATATTGGTATAAATTCTTCTAGAGAAGAATCTCGTGTTATACTATGCTGTACAGTTAAGCTGCTTTAATGTGTTGGGAAGCTAAAGGTGTGGTGATCTTCAAGGGGTGTGTGAGTAAGTTTCCTCACTTGGAATTCTGTGGTGTTGCTTCATCAGAGGGTCCAGGCTTTTGTATAAGAGTTATTTTGGGTGGCAGAACTGGGAGTAGGCTTAAGTCTGAAGCTGAGGTAGAGGACAAACTGGGAAAAATCAATTGCACAGATAAAGCAGTAAGTTTCAAAAGCTGTTTTGAAGTCTCTAGTGGTTTAATGGTTGGCCATTTAACATTGTAGGGCCAAGAAAAGCTGCTTAAGGCACACTGGCACAGTAAGTACTACTGGTTTGGGACAGTGCTTTCTGTTTGATCAGGCTGCTAGCAACACTGCTTCCTCTAGAGCCTTGTCTGCCAAAACAATACTGGTTTTAGGACTAACCTTTGTGCCAAATGATGTTACTTGATCAAGCCTAACTACATCTGCTTTAACAAGCCAAAATGCTAAGTGCAGAAAAATGACTTTAATATTAATTGGGGCGGGGTGTGAAGCCTTTAATGTTCCTTGTGAAGTCTGGCTGTGTAGTGTGATTAGCAGGGCACTTACTGCTTTCTAGCAAAATAGGTGCTGGGGGCACAGCAGGGAATGGATGTAGCAGGGGTCTGCCTTTAGATACAGCACCCCTAAAAATGACACGTTGACAGTATTGATGGTGGCTCATCAGCCCTGTTTTCTCAGTGCCCAGGGCTCACTAGTGCCAGGCTACTGAAGGCAACCACAAAGATACCAAAACGCTGCATCTTGGAAGAATATGTGGCTTTTTAGGGAATTCACCTCTGCTCTCCTGGTTTTGCTTTTAGATGGCAAGTAGAAGAGTGTTGGTTTGTAAACCAGTGCTGGAAGGGTATTTGATAAGGGGGGGGGAAGCTGAAATATCTTCAACCAGCAATTATAAACCAGTTTTTCTCCTTTTGTGGAGGAAATCTATTCGCTTCTTTTAAATTCAAAGCAAAAGGATGTTGTATAAACTTCCCTCTGTTGGTCAGGTTAGTCATATTTTTCCATAACAAACCACACCACTTTGTATGAGCAGTTGCTGCCCTTTGCTGGCTAATGACATGCAGCAGGGGCCTGCTTGGGAAATTCAAGTTCTGGTAACACAAGGTGGTGTGGCTTCCTGGATCCGCATGGCTTTCCCTGGAAAGGCTTCATTTGGAGTTCCACCTCCACAGATTGGCCCATATAGGAAACAGTAGCCTTACATTTGCAGGCACCCTCATGTAAATTAAAGTGGTGTAATCTGCATAGAAAGTGTTTACAAAGCACTATAAACTGATTTGTGCTGTTACTTGCTTATTTCTTGCTTCGTAGTGCTAGGTTCAGGACAATATCCAGTGAATGAACAGGGGAAACCCTGCATGATGCACATGGCTGGCTGTGGCTTCAGTCGGGCATATCAAGCCACCCAAGGAGCCAAAAGCAAGTGGATTTGGATATTTAAAAAAAGGAGGAGGCAGAGAGTATGTATTTCACTCCAATGTGGAGTAGGAGGAGGCAGAAGAGTTCACTTCTGTGTCAGACCAGACTTATGTCTGCAGAGATGTACAATACATGCAAGTTAGGCTCTTCCAGAAACAACTTTTTAATAAGTCACACTCGTGCTGAAAAACAGACTTCCCCAAGAGACCTCTTTCAAGCTCCTGGCCTTGCAGACATCTTTCCTGGGCACCACTGGGGTGACAGATAGCTGTTGGGTCCTGGGTGGGGAGAGAGAAGACAAGCAGCTCTGGTCACACCAGCAGTGGCACTGGGACTTGGGATTTGCTTGGCCTTTAAAACTGCCAGGCTATTCTTAGCTGTACTTTAGGAGTTTCAGGAAACATCAGTGATTGTTCTGTCAAGTAGGGAAGTCCTTTTTCAATATGTCAGTCCCTGCTTGCAAAGGCTGTTTGTGTTTCCACTAGTGCATGATGGAGTAAGGGTCTGCCAAAGCTGCTGTCTGCTCGTGAAATCTAGAGGGCTGGTTGAGGAACAATCCTTCTAAGTTATTTCCTGTGTGTGTCACAACTGGTCTATCTTTCCCAATCCTCTGCATGAACACTGTTTGGATTTACGTGTGTGGCTGGCAATCCAAACACACGACCATTAGTGTGCTGCTGCTGTTGTTTTTGGGCTGGACCACCTACGTTCAAGATGATTTTTTAAACCAAACTTTGCCTAGTGGATAACCTTAAGTCTTGTAAAGCTGGAGCAGTGTGACACGCATCCCCTTCTATTTCTGGTCTATATTGCACCTTGGGTTTAGGGAGGTGGGGTGGGGAAGGAAGGGCATGATAGCATAAGACACCAAAAACCCAAAAGCTGTTGTGATGCCTTCACAGTAAAAGTGAGTTAGCTGCAATGTGCATTACTTACCAGCGTGGGTTTCCTAAATAAGCTTGACCTTGCTTCAGCCCAAATATCTGCCCAGTAGATAAACAGTGTCCTTTTGAAATGCTTGATGTTGATGTCCATGTTCTCCCGCCCCCTGTAGTCTGCATGTCTTTCCAACACACCTCAGTAATGGCTGATCCCTGCTTGTTACCTTTCCAGACTGGAGGCCCGAAATGAAACGGGACAGCGTGTTCACTGCTACGTCACAGCTCTTGCTACTCGCTCAACTTTTCTGGAAAAAAACAAGAGCTTTCGTCCTACCCACTGGATAAAAGAACATAATGAAAGACACTATCTCAACAGAAACGGTCTCCGTCGCCAAAACCTCACCAGGGATTGCCACTCGCGGCAAATCAAGCACAACGGACTGTTTGTTCACCAGCCTTGTCAGCGTCAGTTCAATTACTGATGGCTCTTGTGGTTTTTAATCTATGGTCTAATTTGTTTTAGGTTGCTCTTGTTTTCATGCATAGGTAAGTGTGGTCGATCTGAAGCTGATCCTCAGTCCCTCAAACCCAATCGTAACTAGCGTTGCGTTCTTTTGAAATGACACCTAAATCTCTAAACATCAATCACCCAGCAAGTCCTAAATGTTGATGTTAAATTTCAGTGTCTTGGAAGCCTATCAGTACAATAGTTTGTGTGCTGTTTTATAAAACTATCACGTATAGATGGGTTCTTAGCTGGTTTTCTTTTTAAAAAGAAACTTAACTGATACGGAAATCAGTGACACTTTGCATTAATCAAAGTGGAGTTAGAAAATTTTAAGGTTAGCCATATGCTGTAAAGACCACTACTTGACAGCTTGTGTATCTGTCTGTACTCAGCCTTTATGATTACTTTCTAATGAGGAAATACTCTAGCTGCCAACAGGTATTACATAGCTATGCTCAACTGTTACAAGAAGGACATCTAATCTAAATTGCCTGGTACCCACTTGTGTTAGTGGAGCCTGTAGGTGTGTTGGGTACTAATTATGGGTATTGGATAAGGGTTAAATGTCCCCCCTCAATATTGTTGCAGTGTGATATGGCACTGGTGTTACAGATGTAGTACCTCACAGTGGAGTGGAAGAAAAAGTGGACCTGTGGGTTAAGTGCAGAGGCACGGCCCAGAGAGCCAAACTGGGTTTTACTGGGTACAGTTCGAGTTCTTACTCCCTTTCTCTAACTCTTTCCCTTTGTGTCTTCGAAAGAATGTCCCCTACCCTATTTCACTTGATCTCTAGTCTAGTTAAAGGAAAATGATGGTGGATCCACCATTCTTTTAATCTCATCGTTGGCTGACTGCTCTTTAAAGTCAGGCTGATGAATAGCTATTTCTGAGCTGCTGATTGCTGTTAGATTGTCTCCTATTTACAGATTGAGAGTAGCTCAAAAGTGGCTAGAAGGAAGGTTTTATCAGAAGTTCTAATTTTCTCTCTACGAAAATGAAGTCTGAGTTAATTGTGACTGGAAATGAAGGGCAGTGTGTGGCAGGGAGAAGAGCATGCTGAAAAACACTTTTGCAGAACTAAACACAGTGGTAACAGGGTGTGTAAAAATGGAGATTGGCAGTGGTGGTTCTCCTAGCCCATCGGGGGCAGAAGGACTGGGTAGCAATTCTGTGGGCCAAACAGGAAAGAAAAGCCATTCAAAACTAACAAGCAGTTTTCTTAAGAACACCGAGTGAGATGTTTTGGAAGTTGGCAGGCACTTAAAAAAAAAAAGTAAAGCTCACATCTTAACAAAGAGTGTGTAGTACACAGCAGCCACGTGGCACGCTGAACCCTGACAGCTCAATCTGGGGAGTAGGTTAAATGGCTATGGAGGTGAGGAAACAAATCTGTCCTGAAAGAAGGGGGGGAAACAGAAGTAAACTTATTCCCCCTTTCTGTCAGTGCTTCATGTGACTTACTGTTTTTTTCCCTTGTGTTTAGTGCCTAGGGCATTAAAGTGTTAACATTACCTTCAACCATGTCTTCCAGTAGTCCTTATATAGTCCTTAACAGAAGTTAGTGTAAGGAGCCATGTGAGGCGTCTTTGAAATCACACAAGATCAATAATGTGAATTATTCCAGGCTTATGAAGTGCTTTAAATCCAGCTAAATGCTTCAGTTTCACTGAAGTGAAAACCCAACAGTTTGGATTAACCTTGATGTAGTGGGACTGTTGCACGTCCTGCAGGTAGAACTGTTGTGGCACATACTTAGTGTGCAGGAAACACCACTCATAACCTGTGTCTTGCTGTAGATGTGCTGCTTCACTGGGATTAGTTGGGATTGTTGCAAAGGGATGTTGACAAATAGTTAAATGTATAAAAGCAAAGAGGTGCTTTCCTGGATAGACTAGTCTTAAAAAAAAAAAAAAGACTCGTTGATTTCATACCAACAGTGAAAGAAAACAAAAATAGTCGCATCAGGAGTTTCCAAAACAGATTTTGTTACTACTCTTTTCAGCAGTGTGTGCCCATGTCCATAAGACAATTCTTTTGTGGTCCAAATACTCTGGTTTATCTGCAAATAGCTGTAGTTTCACCAGTCTCTCAGCTGTTCCTGAAAACTCTTACTTGCCTCAGACTATCTACTTTTATCACTCCAACTTTTTGCCTGGCTTGAACTTCCTTCTCCTCACTGCCAACTTTCTAGCTCAGGAAAATTCTTTGCTTTCCTATATTTTTTTTCTTTTATATAAAAGTAACTACTCTCCTTCAGCTTTAATTTTCTTAAAGTGAAATGAAGGAAGATGGAGTCTCCACCTCCCCATGTTGGAAGGAATAAGTGATCCTTTAACTCTTAACAGGGGATTTGGAGTTGAGAGTATAAGGCTCCCAGGCATTACAGTGGGAGCCTTGGTCCGTTCTTCTCAGTAGGCAAGTAAATGCAACTTTAGACTGCTCCTAGAATTGGGAGATACTGATCTTTTTATACTACATTACTAGATGACTTTCTGGTGATGAAAACCTATATCTTTCAGGATATAAACTGTTTTGTTGCACAAAGCTGTGCTTCTCGATTTGTAATATTGGAAACCATATTATTGTGTGAGATAGTACTGCATCAATGGCTTTTTGTTAATTTGTTTTACGTATTTATGTTGGTCTAGCCCTGTTTTGTGCCTGGAGCTATTGGGCAATTAGATTTGTTTTGGTTTTCTGTTTTAATAGTGAGCTGTGTGGCTTTTTATATGGTTTTTGAATTGTATTAAAGTGTGTGTTTTTACTTGTAAAAGTGGAGGCCTTGCACTGTCTCATACTGATTGACATTCATGAATCTTGCTGAAACTGTATTTTCATATGCATTGGTCAATAGACAAATTTGCATTTTAAACTGTGCCTTCTACACAGCAAACTTGAAGATTCAAAAGGGACATTTCAGTTAGAATTAATACTGTACATCAGTCTATGCATATATGGCAGCTTCTCTCCAGAGCCACTTCTCTATTTGTAGCAGTCCTTTTGATACGGAAGAATGTCTGGCTCTTATTTTTTAATAGTTTTAACACAAGCTGAAAACCGACGAAATACAGCACTTTGCCAAAAAAGTAGCATTGCTTAACCAGTGTGTATTTACTAAAGCAATCTTCTGTATTTTGTTTTCATAGTGCGCTCTGTGCACCATGGGGAGACGTGATCTTAACTCTCAATAAAAAAAATGGCCTATTAAAAATATGAAGTCTGTTCTCTTCTGTCAGTCAAAACCCAGATGCCTGAGCACCCCACTCAGGTGTGGTAGGTATGGAGTAGCTGGGAATGCTTGTAGTAATGGAGAAGTTCTTCTGGGAACTGGTTTGCATTGATGGAGGGCAAGTGTGTGGTCTAAGCAGTGTTGTACCTCTCTGCCATCTCTGGTAGGGGTTGGAAGGGACCTCTGGAGATCATCTAGTCCAACCCCCCTGTCAAACCAGGTTCACCTAGAATGGCTGGACAGGAACTTGTCCAGGTGGGTTTTGAATGTCTCCAGAGAAGGAGACTCCACCACCTCCCTGAGCAGCCTGTTCCAGTGCTTTGTTACCATTAAAATAAAAAAGCTTTTCCTCCTGTTGAGATGGAACTTCCTGTGTTCCAGCTTGTGTCCGTTGCCCCTTGTCCTGAGCAGAAGTGCTGTAGGTAAACAGGACAGAGACAAAAACACACAGGGTGGGAGGAGATTTTTCCTTATCTAGGCTGAACCTCTCGTTTCAACTCATGTCCATTGCCTTTCATCCTCCTCCTGTGCACCACTGTGAAGAATCTGTATAGAAGGCTGCTGTTAGCATTCAAGAGGTGGAAGCAGGGACAGGTAACCCGTGAGGGACATAGAGATGTCCAGGGGTGGGGTTAGGGATGCTGAAGCCAAGCCCAGCTGTAGCTGAACCTGGCAAGGAATGTCAAGGACAACAGACTTTACACAGATGTATCAGCTGCAAAAGGAAGATTAGAGAAAATACCTGCCTATGGAGAAAGCTGAAGTAGTCTGTGTCTTCTTTGCCTTGGTCTCTACTGGTAAGACCAGCCTTTGGGAACTGCAGGCCCCTGAGGCTGGTAGGAAAGGCTAGAGCAAGGAGATCAACCCTTGGTTGAGAAGGATCAAGTTAAGAAATGCTTAAAGAGATGGGACATATCCATGACTGGAGAAAGGAGCTGGCTGAGGTCACTGTGAAGTTGTTCCCAATTACCTTAAAGGTTCTATCAATTGACAGGGTTTCTGAAAGATGAAAGAAATCAAATGTCCTTCCTATCTTCAAGAAGAACAGGGATAACTACAAGACAGTCAGTTTCACCTTGATCTCTGGGAAGGTGATGGAGCAGATGGTCCTGGAACCTATTTCCAAACATGAGCAAAAAGGTGATTAGGAGTAGCCCAAATGAATTTATGCAGGGGAAAGATGCCTGATGGCCTTCTACAGTTAGATGACTGGCTCAGTGAATGAGTGAATGCTGTTTATCCTGATGTTAGCAAGGCTTTTGGGGGTACTGTCCCCCCCATAACATCCTCCCAAATTGGTAAATTATGGACCACAGAAGTAGATGGTGAGCAAGTGTATCAAGAACTGGCTGAACTGCTGTGCTCGAAGGGCTGTGATGAGTGGCATGAAGCATAGCTGGAGGCCAGTTGCTGCTGGTGTACACTACCAATGCTGGATCTTACACTGTTAAAAACCTTCACTAATGACCAGGGTCATGGGGCAGAGTGCATAAACAGCAAGTTTGCAGAAGATAGGAGGAGTTGTTTATACATCAGAAGGACCTTGGACAGACTGGAGAAATGGGCTGATGGGAAACTCAGGGAATTCAACAAGGGGAAATCCGGAGTCTTGTACCTGAGGGATAAATAACCCCAGGCACCAGTATGGGCTGGAGGCCAACTGGCTGGAAATCACCTTGGCAGACGAGGCCTGGAGGGTCCTGGTGGACACCATGTTGACCATGGGTCAGCAGTGCACCCTTGTGGCCTCAAAAACTAAAAGCTTCCTGGGCTGTAGTAGGAAGAATGTCGCCGGCAGGTGGAGGGAGGTGATCCTTCCCCTTCCCAAGGAGCGGCCTTGCAAGGACACCAGCCAGCTCTCTGGGAACACGGGATGTAGGCCGCTGGGCTCCATGGCCTTCTATGGGTTGAGCTGTTGCAAGGAGTCCCTGACTTGATTCTCACCCACTGAACAAACTGGGTAAGAAAATGATCTATTTAACTGGCAGTGATGAAACAGAATTTGTGCAACAAAGCACCCATCTTCCCAGAGGAAGCACTGAATAAAACCTTTCCGTAGGTTTTGGGACTTGTGCATTTATCAAAGCAGCGAGTCCCTGCTGGGAGCTGTACAGCGTTCTGCAGGACAAAGTTTGACCCATTATGCCTGTATAACCCAATATAGCTGTACCAATGGTGTTCTTCCTAAAGGTGCTTAGTTCAGGCTTAATACAACTTTTTAAATTTAGGGTGGACGCTTTCCAAAACATCATGAACTAGTGTTTTTAAAAGTTTTCTGTGCCAAAACAAAAATGTTCATCTAAAGGGTCATATCAATGTGACCATATTGACTTAAGTTCTCACTTTTTATTTTTCCTGTTTAAACAAATCCTTGTACGTCCCTGATGAAGCACTCTGATTCCTCACTGAGTCAGTCAGTATCTGCTTTCTTCGCCTCATTGACTTCTTTTGGTGCTTGTTTATAACCACAAAATGCTGTTACCTCCATTATTCAGTGATACTTGCAAGTAGGGTTCAGGGTTTTTGACACATGTAGAGATGACTCATCAAAAGAAGAGGCCGGTGCTGCTGCAGCACCCTTGTTCCTGCGATGTGGTCACGATACAGCAGTCTTAGAATAAGTAGGACTGAACCGAGACTTAACAGGATGCTTATAAAGTTTTTTTTGTATCAACCAGTCCCTTTCTTCATGAAAATACAGTGTGGGAGCTACTGCTGTATAACTAATGCTTCAGAAGTTAAAGTCTCCTTGACTTGCGCCAAAATGTTGTGGACAGATGGATAGTTGAACACTCAGATATCTTAATGAGACAGATAACTATAGTGTTGCTTTGTGGGTAAGCTAAGGAAAAAATAATAATAACCAAAAAAAGAAAACCCACATAAGAGTAACAAAACTAGGCTAGTGGCCAGGAGCACATCTCCACTTGTGGACATGGGCTGTGCCATAGGTCTATTCTTTCTCCCGAAGTGTAGTCTTCCCATTATTGTGTCCAAGCAAGATGACCTAGTCAGGCAATATAATAAGAAATACAAGCATGACCAGAAATCAGCCCGAGTGCTAAAAGAATCCCAGATACCCTGAAATAGGACTCTGCAGAGAATTAGTAGAGACAGAGAGGTAGGGAAGAGGAGGGAGGCTTCAGGCTTTTAGGGTATGTGGGTAATGGCAAACAGCTGACAATTTTTGCAAGGTGAATAAAGAAGATGAAATCACAATTAAGAAAGGGGATACTGACATGGGCAGGGTATTCCCTTGTCTACTCCCAGCAGTGAATTTCAGCTCTAGCTCTTCTGTCTGTTCCTCAATCTGTGTGAGATTGAGGAATAGGAGATAGATGTGTCATGTATTAAATGGGGAAGAAAGAGAGGAGGCTTCTATGGCTTGTGACAAGCCACCTAGCAGATGAATTAACAGATAACAACTTTACCAAATATCTACAAATGGAGGGCCTCTAGAAAGGTCCATGATGTGCCCTAAACATAGCCAAGATTGGGGCTATGGAGAATTTTAAGTCTTAGTCCTCAAATGTTGCAAATGTGTTTGCTACTGTGCTTGGAAGCTGGAGCACCAGGAGTAAACATCTTCACCTTGTGTGTTTGGGAGGGAGAGTCCTGAGCCTGGGGCCCAGCAGTGGTAGGTTTGATGAGGTAATGTGAGTCATCTGAATCACATAGACTCCTAGGTCAGAGGATAGGTTAATCTATTTTGGTTTTAAAATTACTATGTTGTAGTCCTGTGTGGCTCTTTTCTGTGACCTGAGATTCCTTCTTTTCTGCGACCTACACATACCTCCTGGTCCAAAAGGTGTCACGTCTACAGCCCAGGGGTGAAGCGATGCTGGAAAACACAAGGCAGGTGGGTCTTGTTATTTCTTTGAGCTGCAGACGAGATCCACCAGAGGGGTTGGTGAAGATAGGCTTAATTGGCTATTAGTTACAGGTGCTGCTTCTCACTGCAGAGATGCTGTTCTTACTGGGGTTTGGCTGTGGGATTTGTTCAGGATATCAGCAGTAAGGATTGTGCTGTAAAGGTGTTTCATCCTTGGTGTGTTGAAAATGGGTGTTTAAATTTTCACCTACGGGAAAGGATAGGGGTCTCTGACAGGACACAGGTCAAACATCTTCTGCATAAAAGGTCTTTCAGGACAAGATGATGTTTATTCTGAGCTTCTTACTGCTGAGAAAGGTACATCATCTCAAGAAGAAAGAAAGAGGCTTCTAACAAGAGCCAGGAGGACACAGTCTGTTGGTTTGCTTTATGACTGCTGGGAAGTGATGGCATCTACTTCTGAATGGGGCTTTAAAAGGTTGGTAACTCTCACTCTCTCTGCTCCCCCTTCCCCTTTAAAAGCCTGCCTTGAAAAATCAAGTAAAAGAGGAAATCCTTTTAGGGTGCTATAATGTTGTAGGTCTGACCTTATTCTTGATCTCTACTTGAGCTTTCTTCCTCTATTATAAAAACAACTTTTAGCACTGGTTGTCTTAAGCTGATCTGATTGTCCTACAGGCTGCTTATTAATAGCTGGTCATTACCTATGCTCTCTGTTGCTGGTTTTGACCTTAGAAAAACATATTCACGTGCTTATGACTGAAAGGTTTACTCTGTGTTATCTTTTAGTTAATAGGTTCTTAGTAACTGTATATGGCCTCTCTCCCCACCAAAAAAAAAAAAAGCCTACAAAATAAATTAATTTTGTAAGGTCTTGAAAATATTCCTAAATGCATATTAAACTGGATCATGCCTTATTGGAAAACATAGTAGGATATTATAGGTTCTAACAGAAAACAAGGGTTTTGAAACCCAGGCTGCAGCACCAGTCCTGTAACCATTTGTTGGCTCGCCAGATTCAACTGGCCCTTTGGAACCCCTTCCCTTTGACTGGGAGGATTGATGAAAAAACGACCTGTGTTCCAGGTTCCTTTCCTGCTGCTCCCAGGGCTCTGTAATCCTTCTTGATATGCCAGGTTGCTACTGGTGC